TTTAAATATTAGCTCTGAAAAGATCTATGTGTCTTCATGAATTTCTTGGAACTCTTGTTGAATTGTTTCTCTTTTAGCTGGAGATTGAGACTATAACTTCTATTAATAACAGATAAGAGAAGTATAGGAAAATATATTAGCTTGTTCCCTAATCATAGAGATAGTCATGTAATACTTAGGGTCATCTGTTACTTTTATTATCCTAAGTTCATGCTTTGCTTATTCATCCCCCAAAAAACTGGAATATAGGTCCAATTTGCTGGCTAGTTATGCAGACAAATCTACTTGATTCTCAAACTAATTATGAGGAGAGAATGAATCTTCTACTTACTTTGCCCTCATCTATAGACTCATTTTTAAAGCATGAATGAAGATAAGGAAAGGCTAATTTCTAGACATAACTTTGGAATGACCATGGAAAGATGGAGGGTTTCTATAAAGATATCATCTGATGGAATAAAGAATTCTGCTGAGCTGTTCTTATCCATTTAATGTTGATCCCATCCTACAGAACAAATGTCACCCAAGATCCCATCCTGCAGAAAAAATGTCACCTTCTTAGGCCAGTATTTAAGCATTCGAGTCTGAAAAAGAAAGACAATCTCTGACTATGCATCAGAAATTGTGTTAGTATCTTAAAGGTATCATTTTATGTATGTCTCTCAACACCTCAAATGTCCCAGAAAGGTCCCCTCACCTTCTTGCTACAAGGCAGTGGTTTTCAACAATGGCTGTACCTTAAAATCACCTGGGGAGCTAGCTGTCATATCTGCTGATAACTTGGGTCACACCCCAAAGCAATTAACCAGAATCACTGAGGGTGGGACTCCAGGGCCGGCATCTTTAAAGCTCCCCGGGTAATTACTATGTAGATTCAAAGTTGACAAGGACTCCTCTTAGGGGTCTACTGGAATCCTGGCCCTCCTGGGAGAACATTACTCCCTGTAACCCTGTCCAGTGTGACTGCGTTTACTCCTTCCGGGAGTGGAGCAAGTGTCCTCCTTCCCCTTCAAAACCTTCCCTCTCCTTTCTCTACAAAAGTCCCTAGCTGTGACTCTCAGGTCATTTTACTGTATAACTCATGTTCCACCCCCTCTGCCTCCCCACCTCTGTCACTCCCCCTTATTCTTTGAAGATTTGAATTCCAGGAATCCCTTAAACCATGCTAAAATTTGTCCAGAAACATATAAAATCTTTGTTAGAGTGCGTTGGGCATTTCATTTTCAAAAAACATAAACATAGTATCGCAGTAGAAAACAAAAACTGCTACACTGTCATGTGCCATCTAGGTTGATGCAGAGCGGCACTGGGGAGGTGTCTTCTTGATACGTCTTTCTTCTACTTGTCTTTGCTGTTTCTTCAACACAAAGGGATGCTTCTGCTACAGGACCTTTGTGTTTGCTGCTCTTTCCCCCCTAGAGGGCTTCTCTCATCATGATCTTCCCCTGACTGGCCCCATAGCCTCCTTCAGGTCTTTGTTTAAATGCTACCTTCTCAAATGGCTCTATTTCAAATTGCTCACCCATATTTCCAGTCTTCCTATTACCTTCCCCTGCTATCTTTTTCTCCATTGCACTTATCACTTGTTGACATAATATATATTTAAATTATTTATTTGCTTCTTGTCTGCCTCCCAGGTGAGAATATTTGTCTGTTTATTTGCTGCTGTACCCACAGTGCCTATATGCCTGGGACAAAATGAATACTCATAACTATGTATGGAGTTAATTAACCCTATGAGGTAGGTACTATTTTTATCCAGTTATGCAGATTTTTTAAAAAAATGTTTCCCTTATACCTCTCTGTGGTATTAACTTGTAGGTTGTCACTTATCTGTCAGACAATATTTATTTATGGCTAAAGGATGCTGCACAGTGCTCAGTTAACGCTGGTGACCCGGCAAGATGCCAGGTCGAGGTCAAGCCCTTTCTTTGTGGTTCCTCGCCCCTCTCTCCTCCTTCCTTTGGAGTCGCCCCTCTATTTTAGACTCATCCCCATGATCCTCCTGAAGCAAGACTTGTCCAGGAAGACCTTATGTGACATGAGCATAAAACACATGAGGAGGTTAATAGATGCAAAACCAAGATGTCAGGAATCTGTCACTTGAGAAATGCATTCTAGTGCTTGAGAACTCTTCTGAACTGTTTTAATTTAATCAGATTAGTCAAATCCTGGGGGGACTTCACCTAGCTATATGCAATAAGGCTGCTTACATAATAGGCAGATAATAAAGATATGCAGAAAGAGTATATAAACCTATGCAATTGTGTGGTATGGGAGAAGGAGGAGGAGCAGCAGACAGTGAACTGTAACTGATGCTAGTCATGTCCATACACTGCTAAATGCAATGAGTTTTATTGCTTGATCACATAACACTATATGAACACAAAACATAGACAGGATTGAAATAGACAGGTCCAGCCATGGTGTCAGAGGGAACACCACCACAAAGTTGTCAACTATGAACATAAATTTTGTCTGTTCTGCTCCCACACTTAAATCAACCACCCATGCAGAGTGAGCAGGTCATGTAACACCACTGAGCTAATATTTGAACTAAGCACTTACATGAGCATTATTTTATTTAATCCGCACAACTACCCTTATCTTCATCTCAGAGACTAAGAAGCTGAGGTTTAGAGAAGTTAAACAAATGTACCCCGTATTTGAAGCGGGTATGTCTGTTCTATCATTCAATACACCTACTAACCTCCGTGAATATCAAAGAAAATGTGTATAAAAACACCTTGTAAAACATTGAAACTTGTCAGTTAATATTACAAAGTCAGCTGAGGCCAAATAGAATTTCTTTAGAATTTAATACAGCAATCATAATATCATTTCGTAAATGTTCACAACGTTTCTGTAACCGGCATTATATCTCGTATTCTTCACACAAGCCCTGGGGGAAGGTCCTACTCTAATTTTCAAATGTTAAATTACACGTGTTTTTCTGAAACGCTGTTAAAATGACTGTGATAAAGCAGCATCAGCTAAGGAGATGCTTCCAGTATTTCGGTGAGCAGAAAACGTGGGAGCCGGGGCACTTCCCCGGTCTCAATGCCGGGCACAGCCCAGCCACCACCTCGGGGGAGAAGGACACAGGGTTTCAACAGCAACGGAGCCATGACTTCGCGGAACTCGGATTTCAGACTAGCGCTGCGTTCTCAGCGCTCTCCCAGGGAGCTGCAAACTAAATGCAGTCCGGGCGCAGCCCTCCTGGGCGCGCTAGGGCCTCCAGCACCGTGAATTTTGCCTCGAGTGTCCGGGTAGTTGCTGGAAGGTGGGCGCGGGCTTGGCTGGATAGAGCTTTGGGGTGAGCGCTTTCTCCTGGGTGCCTGGGATAGACCTCTACAACCCATAAGAAAGGTCATTTTTTTCATTTGTTCTGCAAACGTGTATTGAGCGCCTGCCTACCATTTCCCGATATACAGACCGCAGCGGCGACGACAGCCAGGACTCAACGCCCGGGCGCGCGCGCCTCGGTGTCTGCCCGTGTGCGCGGAGGGCGCCGGTGCCCTGGGCGTTCGCCCCGTGGCCCAGGGCGAAGCCCGCAGCCGCAGCGCCGGCCTGCGCGCGCCCGAGGGCTGTACTGCCCCACGCACGAGCATACACACACGCACGGGAACGCCGGCCTCCCGCGTCCCCGGCGCTGTCCCGGCGCTGGGAGCCGGCGGGAGCTCTCATCGGAGCGGAAGGCGGGAGCTCCAGGCGGGGCGGGTGCCGGGAGCCGCGTCGTGCATACGCTCCGCGGCTCCCGAAGCCCCGCCCCTGTCCCGCCCTCCCCTTCTCCCGCGCGCGGGCTCCGCGCGCCCCAAGTCGCGCGCGTGCGCGCG